GCTCCTACACGCCCCCCCCGGTCTCGTCCCGCTCCGCTCCGCTCCGCTCCGTCCCGCCTCCTACTCTCCCCACCCCGCTTCTATCCTCTCCTACCCGCCTCGCTCTGTTCCTGCGCGTCCCGCTTCTGCCCGCCCCGCTCCTGCTCATCCGCCTCGCCCCATTCCGCCCAACCACTCCGGTGCCACTCCGCGTGCCCGTCCCACCAGCTCCGTCTCTATCCGTTCTGCGCCACTCTCCCAAACTTCTGTCTAGTTCCGTCCCGTCTCGCCCCCACTCTCCCACACTATTGTCTGGTTTCGTCCCGTCCCGTCTCGTCTCGCCTCGCCTCAGTCTCCGACACTATGATCTCGTCTGTTCCAACTCTCCAACATCACCCCGTCTGGTCTCTTCCACAACACCTACATGTCTTATCCACTACGTTACCGCCTGCTCAATTAAACTTCCCTTGTCACTCTTTCTCTCGTAAACCCATCCACTCTTATCCGGTTTCGCGTCTCAGCGGGGTGGAAATATGCAGTGTGGGGTAACTCCGGGTGGCATAGCCAAAATAGTCTCTTCTCAGATACATTATTAGATTTAGTCTGTCGTATGCACCTGTGCTTTCACAGAGGAATTTTTCACAGAACAAATCGCCAATTACTGAGTGTATCACTCTGCAAAGTTTGAGATTCAACAGATATAATATTCACATTATTATTAATTATAATAATAATGACGATCATGTTGTTCATACTACTATTAATAATTAATAAATATTAAGACCATCGCGCAAAACGATTTGAACAAAATTCACCTGGACAATATTGACTTACTGAATAGCCATTGATTTTCATAACATTAGAAACGCAATATACTACAAACGTTTTCGGATATTTTTAATGCATTTGGGGCAACTTAAATGGATTAGTGTGTGTGTGTGTGTGTGTGTGTGTGTGTGTGTGTGTGGCAGTGTGTGTGGGAGAGAGTGTGTGTAAAAGAGAGAGAAAATTAACGGAGAGGAAATTACATTACGAGATGCGATCATGGGTGGCAGATAAAAAGTGATGAATATGATTAAACATTTGCGTAAGTAAAGAGTGCCTTTTAAGAAAGCATGAACGAATAGCAATACCATGTACATGAAGTAAACCTTCCAACCTAAGTTAGAAATTCCATTCATGACCACATTGCCCTCTCTGCAGGGAATTCCCGGTCACGGGCCTTCTTGTTGAATGAAGCGGCACCCGAAACGTAGTATGACTGCAGAAGTGCGTTGGGTCGTGTTCCATGGCGCGCCCAACTTGAAGTGTAAAAAACCATAACATTTGGCACGTTGCTACGACGAATCCACAATAGTTAACAAGATGCTTTCCAAACACTCTAATAGTTTAAATGTCCAATCTGCATCGCAAGGAGAAAACAATTGGTACTTGATTCATGGACAAAATCCAAACCTCACTCTGAATAGGAAGATACGTTTAAAAGTCGTAAATTCATTACAAAGACGACTACTTTTTTTCTGTTTCCAAACGAGTTATGGCGAATAATGTCAGGGAGGAAATACGCAATTACGATACATCCTTACCAAATTTGATTTAAATTTATAACGTTATTTACGTAAAAGCCCATTCATCAATAGCGCGGTTGGGCGCGAGGTTGGCACTTGAGAAGTCCCGCGCCGCTAAATCACGTTCCAAATCAGCTTATTTTATGATTATTATCAGTTTGCGCGTCCGCGGGCCGCGGCGTGAGAGAGAGGACGTCGCTGGGGCCAGTTTACATTTTAATTCCGCTCCGCCGTGCCTCTAATCTCCCCTCCTTTCCCCCCCCCCCTGCGCTGCCCCTCCCCGCGGTCGGTCACACGTCGCGGCCATTAACATAAAAATGAAGCCAGTGCGAACCCGTTAACCTCTGGGGTAACGATGTCCGAGAGCAATTCTCGCGGCGGCGGCAGTGGAGGGGAGGGCGGTACGGTGACGTCGCCAGAGGACACAGCGGGGATAGCGACCACAGCGCATATGACGAGGACGGTTAGCAACGAGGGTGAGGACAGCCGATACAGTAAAAGTGATGTCGATGGAGTGCAAGAGGTGAAAGATAGGGCCGGGAAAATGGAATTGCATGAACAGCCGGTAATATGTGGCAAGTGCGGGAGAGGCAATAAAGAAAGAAAACATGGAGCGGATGACAAATTAATAGTCTAGTAGGTAGGCGAGTTCAGAAAAACAAATCAAAGACAGAAAAGGGGGGGAAAAATTACTAATATGCGAATGAAATACACAAAACCGTTCATTGAGGAGAAGAGGATCCAGTACAAGGGAATTCAGATGAAGGGCAAACTGGAATATTAAAAATTACAAGGTGAAAGAGAAATACGAGGAGAAGAACAAACGCGAGGAGAACAATCATAGACTAAGTATCAATATTCTCTGGAAGAAGCATGAAGAGAGGAAGAAGAAGCAGCAGTCCGAGGAAGAGAAGATGATGCACGAGAAGAAGGAGAAGAAGAATGTCAAGAAGGAAGAAGAAGAATGTCCAAGAAGGAAGAATAAGAATGTCCCAAGAAGGAAGAAGAAGAATGTCCCCAAGAAGGAAGAAGAAGAATTGTCCCCAAGAAAGGAAGAAGGGATGAAACACGAGAAAGAAGGAGAAGAAGAATATCAAGAAGGAAGAGAAAGAATGTCAAGAGGAAGAAGAAGAATGTCAAGAAGGAAGAAGAAGAATGTCCCAAGAAGGAAGAAGAAGAATGGCAAGAAGGAAGAAGAAGAATGTCAAGAAGGAAGAGGGAGGACAGGAGGAAGATGGGAAAACGAGGAAGAAGGACAAGGACAAGAAGGGAACGAGGGACCATGAGTGCAAAGCGGTTGCAAGCCAGAGGGCCGGCCGCGAGGTGGGGCGGCGGTAGTTTATAGCCGGCACCGAGTTTATCGAGTGCTCCTGTAGAGGGGACGCGCTCATTTTATTTGGAAGCCGCGGCGGCGGGCCGCCCGGGGGCCGATTTATGAGTGATCGCCGCGCTCCCGCGAGGTTTTTGCCATCTGTCCCTCCGCGCCGCCCGCCGCGGCGAATACGGCCTTCTGGATCTTTGGGCGCTGTGAATCAAGGTTGTTTTTAGGATTATTAGCATTTTCGGCCCACTCGTTGGTCACGCCGGCAAAAAATTGCGTGTCAAAAAGTGCGCGAACCGCCTTTTTCTTTTACGAGCCACATTTTGTTGCTTTTTATTGCCGCACAAGGACAAATGCACATCCTTATTGAGCAGATTTATACGCGCACGGTTACTGTTTCACCTGCATCGCCCGGTGAATAAAAATGCATTTCGCAGCTGCCCTAAACAAACTGAGCTACTGAAACGGAGCAAATCAATGAAGCCGTTCATTAGATATATACACCGACTAACATATTTAGCGCTCCGACTAATGAAAGCCGGATATTACAGAATCGGCCTTCGGGGAATATTGCAGGGAGAGCTACTTCTCAGGATTAACAAGCAGCAAAAAAACATGCCGGACAGACCGGTAGGAAATGTTACCACAACAAACGCACGCTCTGAAAAATTCTGAGCATGTTCACGCACGGTACGACCTACTCGCGATACACTTTTTATTTTTCAAACACGGAATTTTAGAAACCATAGAACCGCTCGTTACGCGCAGAGCAGAGCTCAGCTAGCGAGCGCGGGTGAAGCGGAGAGTTTCTGCGGCGCGGCAAGAGCCGAGCGAGGCGCTGCCCTCCGTCGTGTCCGCGAAACTTTGACGCTAATGACACGCGAATGACCGACGACGCAAATGACACTGCGGGAAAGACGGTGTGCGTGCTCCTGCTCACGCGGTATAACTCGCTGACAGGGTACGAAAGACACGGGCGCAAAGAGGTAAACTAGATACGAGTATATAGTGAACCGCTCTTCCGGTATAGAGAAATTGACTATAATGGATGTAGCAGTAGCCTTATATCGTAAATGGATATTACGGATTGTTTGATCTCTTTATTCTTTCCATTTATGAACGTGATTAAAGAAGGCGCCAGCCAACTTCAGTCAATAACTACGTAGTGTATGGAATATAAGATGATTAGGAAGCATTAGAAGAAGGAATTTAGAAAATTCCTTGGAAACATGACATGAGACTACTAAACGAAATATATTATCTCCCCAAAAGAACAAATTAAAAGGAGAGTTATTCTAAAAAATATACTCGTATAACAAATACTAAGGTTTTGAAGAAAAAAAACTATGTATATTTTTACTAAAGAAGATACAAGTGAAGAGGAAAAAATCATACTTGGTGGTCAACATTACAATACTATTGATCCTTTTTTTGTTTTTTAACTATATTAAACCCGATTTAACGTGTAAATATGTAGATCACTCCGAAATTGAAGTGAGGGGTTTCATTGTCAACCGCTCGTCTCTCCCTACGTGCCCGCCGCCAAGATGCTCTAGACAGCAGCCGTATCCCCCTTGTCTCCACCCCCGCCCTTGCAGCTCCCTCCCCTCCCGGGCCCCCGGCGCGGGCTCTCGGGGCGTCTGAGACTGCGCTCGCCCTCGCTCCAGCCTCCGCAACCCCGCGCCTACCCCACCCCCGCCGGCGAGAGATGCACCGGGCGGGCACTCCTGCTAATTGCCAGGCGGCATGCGGTCAGTGCGAGCTGGGAGTGGAGACGGCGGCTGCTGCGAAACCCTCAGAGCGGCGTCGTTTCGGGTCGCGGCCGGCGGCGCCGGCACCCGTACCAGTGCCAGTACCAGTGCCAACTGGCGGCGTTAGCGTCGGGAGTCGAAGAGAGGGAGTCGGACTGAGTCGTAGAGGAAGTGACTCAGTCTAGAAGAGGGGAGTCTGAGTTCAAGGAGAGGCAGACCGAATATTTCCCCTGTATTTGCAGCCAATCCATTTCTTTTTTCGCAATATCATTAAACACTCATACTATTCGCAACACACTCGTCGTGTCATTAAACAATTTGCACGCTCTCCCGCACTCACGCACACATGCCCCACGCATAGAATGTGACTGCGGTACTTACGAGCTATGTCGAAATAGCGCGCCTCCTCCAGCAAGAGGTCGATGTCTGCAAAGTTCTCGGGGATGAGAAGGCGCGAGTTGCGCATGAAGTTAAGAATATGACGGAACATGCCGCCGTCACGATCTATGAAGTAGTGCTGCTTAAGTGAGTCCAGCACTATGGGGATGCTGCCGTTGAACAGCTTTGCCAGACGAGAATCAGGATACCTGCAAGACAAAAAGAACACTTTAGAACGCATCAACAGAAGAAACACATTGTTATTGAACACTGTTAAAATGAAAAGATATTCAAATAGATGGGCGTTAAAAGTTTTTAAACAATAGTTTTTTAGTTTTACGTAGAGTGCAGTCAACAGTAGCTTCAACGGAAATAAATTTTTAAATTTAGATTATCCATTTGTATGAAATTCACACTGGATTTGTAAGTATGAAACAGATTCATCACCTAATTTCCAATCTAAAATATGATGGTGTGATTAAATTGCTCAGTATTGTGCATGATAAATGGTTTTAGAGCAGAAATTCGTACAGAGAAAATTTCGCACCCCAGTAACGAGAAGAGAAAAGCATGCTCGCATGCGGTATCAATCAACAGCAGGTCTTTTAACAGAATGCAATCACAACATCTTCAATAGTATTAATAAAGGTACGCTTCCAGACAGTTATTCCGATAACATTTAATGAAGATCAAAGACGAACACTCTTTCTATTCCAACGAATGGTGCGATATCATTGCATTATATGCAAAATGATATTAATCCGTTCACTGGCTTGGGTCATGTGTTTCTCTCGGGACATAAAAAGTACGTTGGTACTTCAAAATACTCCAAAGTTGTGTCTTATACTAAGGATTTTCTTTTGTCCCAAACTAATTAAGGGTACTTGATTTTGTTCCAAATAATTTCAAAATAAGGCGATGCCAACAAAAATATTTGAAGAAAATGAACAATAGGTTAAAGTAAACGTGATGTATGAATAAATACGTCGTTCCTCCCAACAGCAGGCCCAAACAAAGAAGCTCATCAGTCCCGCGAAAAATCGAACATACGGCAACGATTCTCGCACCTCTCGCCGGGGGCTCTCGACCTACGCCAAATTCAGACCCCCTTCGGGAAGATCGCGATAGCGTCGCGGCGAAAAAACGCCGAATTTGGAGACGCGGGCTCTGCAGGACGCCAGGTGCGCGGCGCAGCGCCGAGGCACCCAACGCCGACGCGGACGCCGGCGGCGGCTGCAGCGGCAGCTCCAGCGGGGCGGCGGCGGCGGAGGCGGAGGCGGCGCATCGCCCCCGGGCCGCCCAATGGGCCCGGGCGTCCGCCCTCCGCTCGCCCGCGACAGCATGCGACCGCCCGGGCCGACGGCGACACAAGGCGGCACGGCGCCTGCCCTCTAATGTCCGCTCCGTCCACCCGGCCCCCCAGCAACGGCGGCGGCGGCGGCGGCGCGCGCGGCGGCGCAGCCAGCGCGAGGCGGCCCGCACCGCCGGGAGCGGACGTCTTTTTAATTGCCACTAAACATTCCAATACGGAGCTATATTACGAAAATACGTCGTTGAATCCTTCGTCTCGAGAACGCCGGCCGCCGCCGTCGCCGTCGTCGTCGTCGCGGCGCGCGAGTCGGAAAAGAACAAAAACGGCGACGCGGGTGGGCGGGGAGTGGGCGAGAAGGGAGCGGGCGGAATCGGGGAGAGAGCAGACGACGGCGGCGTTTGGTGCGGGGCGGGCGGGGGCGCGCCTTCCGGCGAGACCCAGGGCCCGGTTCCGCCTTTTTCCCTCCCCCCCCCCAGGGCGCGCCCATCCGCTTCGCGGGTGCCCGCAGGCTGCGCGGCCGTGCTGCGGCGAGAGACGCTGCGGGGACGGAGAAGCTGCAAATGACCCTGAACGCACGCGGGCGCGCGCGCGCGGAATTAAACTGGCGAGATTGCGGAATAGCATGCAAGTTCAGGCCCTCGGAACGCGACGTGACCGCACCAGACGCACCCTACAATGCAATGGTAGACCAGTAGACCCTATGCATGTCAAATGAAATATACTTGGAAAATGCGAGAGGGCGTCAATAGCCAGTACCTTATGATCGCCACAAATGAGAAGTCAAGGTAGCTCGAGTCCTATTAGAATTTTGTAGGATGCAATAGTAATGTGATATGTACTTTAGTTTAGTCATTAGGACTAGAAATACTCATCCGTTTTATGAATTGTGTGTGAAATATATTAGTGTGTAACTATTATCAAAATAGCGTACCTACTTGTAATCTTCCACTTGCCCACTAACAATACGCAGGCTATGAACATTAAGTAGTCATGATGTACTTGATGGTATGTTAAATGAATTTGAACGGCGTGATAGATCCTATGCTCCAATCACCGGAATAACCCCAAACCTGATTTCAGTTTCTTAAAAAAAGCCAATTTGTAATAGGATCTAAGATGAAAATGTAGATAGAACACACTGCCTACACCTCCGAGCAACTTCGCAGTTCTCAGGGCTGAAGCGGGACGCTGCTCGGGGCGGACTCAACGGAGAAAGCAGCCGTCGCCGATTTACGCCCGGCGGATAAAAAACGAAGGCTCCTTCATTTCCATAATATATCGATTAATCCGGGCGTCCGCGGAGACCTCGCAAAACGCACGGCAAAAAAAAGCGACAAAACGCTTCGTCGTCATCGACGGCGGCGGCGGTGGCAGAAGCGATGGAAGAAGCGGCGGCGTGGCGACGGAACGAGCTACGTCCCCGCCGGGGAAATGCCCTCCGTACATGGACACCTCCGGGGTCCGGTCTCGTCGCCTTCAGGCGCTCGTCTCGTCTTGTCTCGTCTCCGTCAGGCGCTCGACCCGACTCGTCTCGTCTCTGTCAGGCGCTCGTCTCGTCTCGTCTCGTCTTGTCTTGTCTTGTCTCGTCTCCGTCAGGTGCTCGTCACGTCTTGTGTTGTCTCGTCTCCGTCAGGCGCTCGACCCGACTCGTCTCGTCCCCGATGGCATCTCGTATCCGCCACTCCCTGCATCTGCATCCGTCTAGACCGCTAGTGGGTTTAGCGTCCGCTCGCTTAACTTCAACAAGCCCTCGTGTCACTGTATCAGTGGTTCGGTATTATTTCATTGCTTTTCCCTGTAGAGGGGTACAAATTTGTACAATTTTTTTTGACGTCCTTTGCTTTTAATATCATTTCTTGGATTGATCGCCAACCTTCTCTTTGTTTCACGTGACTCAGTCGCCGTTCTAATTTTTGTTACCTCAATTTCGCCCAACTGATTCCCTTGTATTTGTTCTCGTTTGTCTTTAATCTTGTCGTTATCTCTTTTCAACCCATTGCCAACAGCTTCCACATGTCTCGCTCTTGTATCGCAAGCGTCACACGCTACCGCTCGAATATTGAAGACCTTCGAATCACGGCATCAAATAGTAAACAAGTCGAAAACAAAAGCAAGATCATAAAGCAGCCAGTAGAAAACTGGCCGGAATGGCAGTTCTCGGACTATAGGCTAAAAGACTACTTTAAGTTTCCCTTTTTGTAAAATAATTTCAGCCTTTCGACAGTTGATTCTTGGGAATGTATCAGAACAAAATTACACTACAAAAGCGAAGAAAGTTAAATTCAGAACGAAAAATAGAAAACGATAACACCAACACAATGTTATACCCTTCAACATCCAAATTAAACAGCGAGTGATTGATTCATCAGTTATTGCTTATCGCTAGCATTATTTTCAAGAGGTCAACGCCATCAACAGCGCATCATTCTCTTGCTTTGAGCACATTCAACCCTCCATCTACCAGTCGGCTGCAGTTTCAGAAGCCTCCACGTCGATAAAAGAATACAACGAAGGCTACATACAAAAAAAGAACACGACGCTTCACGAAAATTAAAAAAAAAAAGAAAAGGAAAAACCGGGAGATGAGGGGACCGTCGCGAATAAATATGTACGATGACGGCCATGCCGTTGTCCCTGCTGCTGCTACTACGCTCGTGTGCGAAATAATAATGTTGCCTCTAATAAGTTTGCACAAAGCCGTTCGCCTTCCCGGCGTGCAAGAACAATATAACTAACAAACCCAATATTTTCCCGCCGGGAATTTCAGGGTGCCTGCCCTCCTCGCTGAAGAGAGAGACGTGCCGTAGGCGGCGGCGACGGCGACCCGTGCCGGGGAGGGAGAGAGGAGGAGATGGGCGGGAGCAGGAGGAAGGGAGGGGGAGGGGTTCGTTTCAAATTTCTCTGTGCAACCAGAAAATATTCTGTTACGCTGGAACAACCGGCCGGCATTAACTGTGAGCCCAGGGCGCGACCGGAGGCTGGGCCGCGGTCGGGGACACGCCCCCTTCCCTCGTCCACAGAATGTCTACATCATCCCCTCCCCTCTTGCCCGCTCCCCATATCCACCTTCCCCAACCTCTACCCTGGCTCCTGGATTCTGGTTGCTCGCCGTACAAAGCAGCCGGCCGGTTCTGAATCTCGGGCAGTGCAGCGACTAATCCTTTGAAGTGGTTATAATATAATATAATATATTTATTTTGGCCACAATTGGCGTCTTTGCCAGGTGGTAGCCAATTAAATTCACTATACAAATGTAAATTAAATATAATGTATAACTAGAACACTGTATACCCCAGCATAGCGAGGAAAGCTCCATTTCACCGCTACACATGTGAAACTCAGACTCTCTGCACACACCCACAACACGCACGCACACGCACAAATACGTATATACTCACACGCACACACACACATACATACATATTATACACACACATATTCATATATACTCATATACACATATACATACGCATATGCATATACACACGTACATGTGCGTATACGCGTATATACACACACACACACACACACACCTACACATATACACACATACATATATACACTCCAAAAATGTACTTACAGCTAATTAATAACATCTAATTGTACTCTATCGTATTCTATTGTATCTAATTCTAATCTTAAATTTTATTTCATTTACTGTATTCACTTCTGCTACGTCTTGCTACGCTGCACTACACTGCACTACACTGCAACGCCCAGCCCCACACTCCGCTATATTTCATTTTATTTTTTACATTGTTAATGTCGCATATCACGCTGAATTTCCCTGGAACTGCACTTCACTTCACTAAAAAAAAGCTAATAATTGAAGAAAATAAAAATAAAAATAAAAAAATACTATTTGAGACTTCTTAAACGATTTTTAAAACACTTTAC